AATTTTTTTTAAAAGTCAATAAAGAGTATAATGTTAAATAAAATGTTAATGTTGAAAATTTTGGAATTAACTGACTAGACTAACCACCAACTACAATCAAATTCACTTTATTCAAGGGCTCCATGTTTCTGGATACATTTCTGTTAATTTTTTAATTTTTTTTCTGAACAGTGAAAGATGGAATAAAAAACAAGTCAAAGTTAAATACCTTTTGCCTTTTTTGCAAAATAAGGAGTAGAAACTACAGATAAATGAATTGAAGTATAAGTATTTATAAGTAAATATAAGAAGTATATGTAAGTATTGAAGAATAAATGAAGTATTTGTACTTAGTGACTTGACACCTAATATAAACATATAAACACGTGGACAATATTATGCAAAAATATCAAGTTACTCTACATTTCATTACATTTTTATTTTCTAAGAAAGATCTTTCTGTAATTTCTTCAAGTACAGACCAATATAGATTTTTTTTGAAGGTCTTTCAGTTTTTCTTTGGATTAGACTGCTTCTTCATTAATTTTCTGTCCAACAAATGAACATTTCCAAAGGAGCATTTTTTGCTCATTAAGCCACTTAAACATTCAAATACAAAAGGCCTCAAGATCAGTGTTGTTTATGCACACAACCAAGCAAAGAATCAATTTATAGCAACTTAAACTTGAGCTATTGTGTGAGAAATTTAAGAAAATATGTCTTGCTTTTGAGTGATGAAAATTGTATATTTTTCTATTCTTTATAAAGATAGCCAAYGAATTTGTGAAAGGAGATTGGACTATTTTTTGTGCACGGATGAGAAGGCACGGCTCTCCATGCTAACTGAGGGAAATGTGCCTCATCCAGACAATGGGACATGTTCCTGCATCGTCTGTCGGACATGGTGACCTAAAAAATGGTGCTTCTCCGTGGTTAACAACATAAATACCAGATCTTCCTCCTCCAACTCCTCCATCATCATCTAAAAACAAACTATTCAGTCAAACATGCTGCATGTTTGGATTCTGTTTGCACATGACATGGTGGGAAGACTCAGGGCTGTGAGAGGGCTTCTCACCYGTTTCCCTTTAGAGTATGAATAGTCTGTGTTAAAAAGACCATCTCAAATCATGAGAAAGACATCTGACCTCATACTGATGTACAGAAAGCCATTTACGAGTGTAAATTTGCAGTTATACCTTGGTAATTATTTACCCTGCGGAAACAACACTTCTTTCACTTCTGTTTTGTGTGTTTTCATCTGCTACAATCTAAACTAGGCAAATGAACTTGCTGACATAGCTTCTCCTCAGCTGCTAAAGTGCTTTTGGTCAGACAGCAACTGCATCCTCAGTCCTTTCATTTGCATATTTCCAATAGAACGTTGGGATTATTTAATACCTCCCCCACACAAAAACAAAATTGATGAGTGCTCCCTCACAACCCTGAAAGTTCCAGGTAATCTCAAAAGTACTACCAGAGTCGTTTTCCAGGATATATTTCTCCCCTGTTAACGTTTTGGCTCCAGTTCCTGCAGTGGAAACAGAAAAGTTGTAAAATAAATAAAATTACCCCAAACGAACTACACTGATGCCTGAAAAAGAGTTCTTGTCATGCAAGCAGGCTGTTTGTTAGCTGCCTTTCCCAATGAAAATACCAAGATAACACCAGTGGACACATAAAATAATCTTTTGGTATCAACAAGGTGATTCCTAAAGAGCTATTAGTGGAAAACTTAGATGATGTAATTAACAGGYCTAGTGTTGGGTCTTTGCTGGATTGATTTTCACATATGCTGTTCATTTGCTGTGAACATCTGTATGACAGGGAATAATTGTGAAACACACAACAGATATA